AAGGTCTTGTGATGGCAGAGTTCTCAGTTCTCTCTCAAACACCAGGAGAGATGGGAGATTGGCTCACTTATCTAGGTCTATAAATAACCTGGTGATCAGGACCATTCCCACCCCCCCAACTGTAATTCACATCAGTGCCAGTTCCTTTGCAACATCCCAAGATGGGGGAAATTGATGCATCAAAGCCAAAAGATTCCCTTCGTGTGGAGCCAAGCATTGTTTCTGTTGCTAGAGTTTCTACTCCAGAATGAGATACTGATGATGAGGGCCACTTCTCAGGCATCTCCATGTAGCCCAGAGCTCTAGCTTGCTCACCCTGGGCCCTGGCACCACCAGCCTCTCCCCTGCTCCACTCTCCTATATGTGTTGTCGTCCCCATTAGGAGGTATATTCATTGATGGCAAGGCCTGCTTTGCTGGTTTATATTGGTGTTCCCAGCTCCTAACCCAGTGCCTGGCACATAAAGAGCTTCATAAATACTTTTCTATTAATCCAGTGACAAGAGGCCTGGAGTCTGAGACTCAGATCTTAGATGGGCTCAGTCCGGAACTAAGCAGCTCCTCCTTCCATCCAGCTTCATGGCAGTGGAGGAGTGGAGTCCTGTAGCAGTGAGTCAGGCCAAATAGCCAGAGATTACCTGCCTAGAGGAAGTGGAAGGAAGCATGTACAAGGCCCCAGCCTAGGGAGCCCTCCGGATAGCAGCTCCTCCCTCCACTTGAAGGAGGAATTTATTCTTTGGGAGCTCTGAGATTGATTTTCTTCCTAGGGGGGTGGGGTTTACTCTCTGGGAGTCTGGCGATCACTCTCCAAGGTCACTGACCTAGATGTAAGGCTTTCAAAGTCTTTACATACAGGTTATATACATACATATTATATCATTGGAGGCTTTGTGGGATGTAACTGTGATTCTCAAATAAGGCTTTCAAAGCCTTTACATACAGGTTATATACATACATATTATATCATTGGAGCCTCCAAACACACTTGTGAGGAAGGCACTATAGGTCTTATTTCCATTTCACAGATGGGGCGGGGGGGGGGGGGGGGTGTCATCAACATGTAGCAATGTATTTACCAGTAGCTCTATTAACTGGGTTGTGTAACTGTGAAATCCCAATATCAGCAGGGTATTTTGCATCCTCTCAGACATCCTAGTGTCCCCCAGGTGATTTGTAGAGAATGTAAACTTTCACTGAGGGTGATTTAAGGGTGTGTCCCTTTCCAATTTTGGCTAATTTGTGGGATGTAAGGGGCAGGTAAAAAGGGCAAGGATATGGAACGGTGAACCCCATTCAGACTTGGACTGGTTTCATTTGCACCTCATAAACAGTGTGCCCCTTTCCAGATGTTTGGGTATTATTTTGAGCCTTAGAAAGTGTTTTAATCTTAGAGTGCCTCGTTTACATATTAAAAGGTCAGGAAAGATACCGAGCCACCAGCGAGACTATTAACTTGTCCCCATCCCTACCCACGTCCCTTTGTAGTAGAAGCAATAATCTGTTTACTGGAAACATTTGAGTATGAAAATAACAGCTTCTGTTTGTGTGTCTGTGGGTAGACAGGCTTTGGGAGGGGAAGTCAGGGAAAGAGCAGACCTTTCTTGGGATTTCCTCAGCCTGGGTCCTTGTTTTCACACTCCTGGTAAAGCTGCTGTCTCTCTTCCTTATTTCTCTTCTTTGTATTTCTCTTCAGTATTTCTTTTCTCTGCTACCTCAGTTGTCCCACTGCTCTGTGCTTGGTCCAACCTCTCAAATTCAGATGTTAAGAATCTCTTCATTCCCCATTCTGAGGTAGCTTCTCTATTTTACACAGATTGCTTAGGGTGTGATTCAGTCTGTAACATAATGACTGGAATTGATTCCGACCAGTGTGTAAGCTTTGCTCACCCTCGGAAAGGGTTTTCACCTAGTCAAGGCACCTGAGCCAAAAGGAGTGATTTCAACCCCAACCCACTGTTCCAGGAAGATCAGACAGAACCACAGAAGTCAAAGTTCGAAGGCACCTCAGCAGCCATCTCCTCTAAATTGCCCTCAAAATGAAATCTCCAGTCTGTCCTCAGAGGTCACCCAAGCCTCTGCTAGAGATCTCCATGGGGTGGGGAGGAGCCCAGCACTTCTCAAGGCAGCCCATTTTACTTTGGGCCTGATCTAATTCTGAGTAAGGTGTTTCTGGCCTCAAACCCAAATGTGCTTTTTTATAATTTTCACCTATCAGCCTTGGTTCTGTCCTCTGGGACAAACAGATCAAGTCTCATCATCTAATCATTCTTCCACAGGACTGTCCTTCAGATACTTGAAGAAAGTTATGAAGGCTCTGATTCTTCTCTCCTCCACGTCAAACATGTCTAGTTCCTTCCAGCAATTCTCTTGTGATGTAGACTCAAGGCCCTACACCATCCTAATTGCCTTCCTCTGGCTATTTTCAAGCTTATCAATATCCTTTTAAAACTGTGATTCTCAGAACTCAACACAACATACCAGGCACGTGTGTTCTAATTAGGGCAGAACACAGAGGGACTCTTAACCTTCTGATTCCTGAAATTGATGCCTCTCAATATTGCATGTGTAGCTTATGCTCATGAAAATGGTTTCTACAGATGGGAAAGTAGGCATGTGTGGGGCAGTAGATATTGACGTTTGATTAATTGCCTTTTTGGTGGGGTACTAATAAGATCTAAGCTTTTTTCTTCTCACACCCCCCAACACTTATGGTATATTTCTTTCCTTCAGAGACCTTATGAATCAATCTCTCAACACTTTTAAAATTGGGTTACTTTGGCAATGTTCAAGCTCCCATGCCAAGTTGAAAATACTCGACACCCAAATGGATCTTTGCCCTCATCAATTCAGGAATTCCCATGCAACAATGCAGATGGTCCCCTCCCCCATCCAAGCTTGCAAGTTTTTCGCAGAAGATTCACCTAATATGGTATCAGTCTTCCTTCCTTGTGTTTTCTTGCCATCGTAAGGTTATCAGTGGAGTACCCTGGCTATCATCCCTGTCTTTCCATGACCAAGTGATCTTCACTTTCTGTTCTATGATCCCTTGATGAAATCCTCACTGGTTTTCTATGTCAGTCTACTCACATTCATCATTGACTTTGATGGTGAAAGAAGTTGGTTTTAAAATTCTGCTGTAGTATAGTAATAAGAAATCAAGCTGGTTAAGACAGGCTGAAGCCATATTTGGGATGGCCTTAAATGCCAGGCTGTGACTTTTGAATTTTATTTTAGAGACCACAGGGAAACATTCAAAGGTTTTGAGCCAGAGAGTGACATGGTCAGGCCTGAGCCAGGGAAATTTGATTTTGCCAGCTGTGTGGAGGTTGGATCGGAGAGGAGAGAGCCTGATGGGTAGCGGGGAGAGTAATCAGAAAGCTATTGTGATAGCCTAGTCTCAGGTAGTTGTGAGAGAAAAGATCAGAGAAATTGGGGAGGGAAGAGTGGAAATCATGATGATGGGCCTTTTCATTTCTTTGTAACCTAATATTTAGTTCAGTTCCCTCCACATACTAATTGCTAGGTAAATGCTTGTTGAATGAATTTAATTCAATATACACAGGATTCTGGATCAGAGATTTAGAACTAGTAGGTACTTTCAAGGTTATCTAGTTGAACCCTTTTATTGTATAGATGAGGAAACAGTTCCAGAGAAGTTATGTGAGTTGCCTATGGTCATGCAGCCAATAAGCAACATATACTGTCACCTTCCTAGAAGTTGGTTGAATTGACTTAACATGGACCCAATAGCGTAAAAGCTCTAAAGGAATTTCCTATGATATTGAAAAATCAGAGATTGTTGAAAATAATTAGGAAGGCTATCAGGTTACACTATTTAGTGTAAGCGTTTTCTGAGAATGATTCTTGGGGACCCCTCAGCTCATGGTCCTTTCTAACCAGTTTTCGTCGTTTGCTATTCCTGGTGTTACTAGAAATAGAGATGAGATCTAGCTTGGAGGTCTAGAGCTGGAAGTGACCTCCAAGGCCAGCTAGTCTAAACCTCTCATTTTACAGAAGAGGAAACTGAGTCTCAGAGAGGTGAAGCAACTTGCCTAAGGTCGCATAGGTAAGTAGCAGCACTAAGATTCAAACTCAGGTCCTTAGAGTCAAAATCCAGTGCTTTTTCCACTGACTTCTTCTAGTGCTATGCTACTGAATCACACTTCCAGTTATTAGGGACTTCTGAAAAGTTCGAAAAGCCTCTTACAGGAAGTCTGAGGGAGGCTCAGAAAGCTATTCTACTCCCAGTGCCAATAAATAATGAGGCCAGTGAATTCTCTCTCCTGGTTAATGAAAGGAAATGATTTCTTTATTTTCACATTGTGTACTTCAACCTTCTACATTATGTAAACTCAGAAACCACCTCATTGTTTTATTTTTGGTTTTTTACTTTATTGTTTTTAATCTAGCCCAAGAGCAGCAACCACTAAGGAGTGTTTCCCAACCAACTCTAGAGAAGGAAGATTTTTCTTCTTTCTCCTCAGAACCATCATCACAAAGACTCCTTTCTTCTTGATGATCTAGACCTTGGGCAAATCACCTCACTTCCCTGGGCCTCCATTTCCTCCTCTGTAAATTGTGGGTATTGCACTAGATAAGTCTCAGAAATCCCTTCTACGTCAAAATGTATAAACTATGAATGAAACAGCTTTTCACTCTTCCACTTCCCCAGAAAAAGAAACCGTGGCCCCGTGGAAAGCGTGCCGGACCTGCAGCCAGAAGACCCTACTTCAAACTCCGGTTCAGCCCTGATCGTTCGACAAGTAAAGTAGCAGGAACCTTTAATGCAGGTCAGGTAACTTCCCCGCGTGCTTCCCCAAGCAAGCCGGTGCCCGGAAGGGCGGGGGGAGTTTGCTAAGGTTTGGAGTAAGTGGGCGGACGGATGGGATTCAAGCTCGGCTCCAAGCCAAACCTGATTGGGCGATGGGGCGGGGCCTGGGTAAAGAGGCGGGTTTGTAAGAGGTTAGTTCCTCCCTTCACGCTTGCGCTACGCCTCCATCCGGGTCCTTTAGCCTCGTTCCCGGGCTGTATAAAGTTCGCCGGCCCCTTTGTTCGTTCTTATTGCGTAGTTGCGTCTGTCCGATTTTGGTCGCGTAGGTAGCTCGGGGGCTTTGGAGACCGAGGAGGGCTAGAACGCGTGCGTACGAAGCCGAGTTTAGAGCGCGTAGTGGTGGCGGCGGGAAGCCAGAAGTAGCCGGAGAGCCCAGCGCCCTCACTTGCACCTCCTGCCAAATCGGTGCGTAGGAGATGCCCAGCGGGAGGCTTTCGCTGCACTCCCCCCAGTTAGGTTGGTTTGGGCGGCGGTGGCCCTGCACTTTACTTATAAAGATGGAGGGAGTGGGCGCCATTTTGGGTGGCGCTTCGGGCTGGTTGGGGGGGGTCAGGCCTAGCAGCGGCTTCTCTCAAGAGCCTGTCCGAACAGCTTTGGGCCCTGCTGCCCGCACTCGAGAGGCTTCAGCCTGGTCAGAGGGGTGGGGGGGGTTGGTGGGAGGAGGAGGCCGAGGGCCTGTGAGCGGAAAGTGCCGGAGGAACCGCGGGAGGCCCGCTTTGGCCTCCGAGGCCGCTCCCTGGCCTCCGTCCCTAGGAAGGGGGGAGGGGGGGAGGAGCGGGTCGAGGAGAAGTGCCGGGCTGTTCCCGAGATGGAGCTGCCGCCATTTTGTCTCGCTCGCACGCGGTAGCCCGCGCGGGCCGGTCAGGCCCCACTTGGGGGGGAGGGGGGAGCTGGGAGGGAGCCCGGACTCTCCTTCACTGTGGCCCCGCCCTCCCTCTCGGCGGGGCCTGCGCGGTCGTGGCCTGCGAGAATGTGGGGCCGAGGCTCCCCCGGGGAAGCGGCCCCCCCCCCCTCCGCGCTCCAGCTTCTGGGTCCCGCTCAATTGCCCAGGAGACAATCTAGCCCCGCAGGGGCTTGGGCGCAGCCCTCGCTGAGTCCTTGGTGTGCCCTTGAACGGCTTGGCTGCAAGCCTTTTAATCCGGCTCAATTTGGGGCAGCAGAGGGAGGTGCCCCTTGAGCTCCTGAGGCGGGGGGGCCGGCCCGGCCCGGGGAAGGGGCTGAGGAGGGAAGCGGGGCTTAGCACTGAGGGAGAGTCGGCCGAGAGAGAGCAATAAAAAATGGAGGGAAGGGGTGGCATGATGCCGAGCCAGTTTGTTATATTTGTTGGGATAGTTTTGTGAAAGTGATGCAAACTTTGTTTCTTGGGTTGTAACTTTGAAGTGCCCTTGTGTTAGGAGTTTTTGGTAGGTTTTTTGAAGAAGTAAATCATACCTTAGCATGCATTCTTGATGGCCTTAACTTTGGTGGACCTGAATTGTATTGTTTTGTTTTCTTTTGTGGACAGAATATAACAAAGTCAGAATGGTTGAAGCAGATCGTCCAGGGAAGCTGTTTGTAGGTGGACTTAATACAGAGACAAATGAGAAGGCTCTTGAAGCTGTATTTGGGAAATATGGGAGAATAGTGGAAGGTGAGATACTAATTGAAAATATTTTATCCTTGACTCCTCCCCAAAGGCTGGGCAATGATGAATTTTCAATAGCATTGAACATGTGAAGTGATGATATTCATCCTCTAAGAAGTTCTGAGCTGCTGCTTTGCTGCCTTTAAAAAGTGGGAGGAGGGGGGCAAAAGTTTTGTGGGTTAATACCAAATTAGAACAAATCCTATTTCTCTCCCTCCTGTGTAGTACTCCTGATGAAAGACCGGGAAACCAGCAAATCCAGAGGATTTGCTTTTATCACTTTTGAAAGTCCTGCAGATGCAAAAGATGCTGCCAGAGACATGAATGGGAAGGTGAGATTATGCGCCTGGCAAATAGTACACCACCATATTTGGTATCATAACTAGCATTATAGAGTAGTTTGTATAAAGTACAGGATACTTTAAATTTCATTTTTATTTCAGTTGTCTAGGTTTGTCAGTTATAAATGACCAAAACTAGAAATTTTATCAAACCTTGTTTATAACCAAAAGCTGGTATATTTTCCTCAGACCTCAGAATTAGAGTTTCCAATATGGTGTGTGGGATGTGTATATTTCCTATACGGTGAAACCAGTCTCATGGTGGGGTGGGAGTGACCAGACTATTAGAGACTACAAATGATTTAGAATGTGTGAAACTTTGCTCAAGTTATATAATCTATTCTAGACTATGTGGAGAGGGAAGAATATTGATGAAACTACTTGGCTTTACTTAACTAGCTCTATATCTACAGCTAGCGTTCTGCACTTAGCTTCTTGATTGAACAGAGGTTCAAACTAGATTATAACAATGCCAGGTGTAGGAGCACAATCAGTTTCATTTATTGAGACTACATAAATTAAAGGGCAAGTTGAGCCAGTGTAAGAGCTATGGAAAATGCAGGAGAGTGTTTTCTGGGTGGATTTCCTTGTCCCAACCTCTATTTTGTTAGCTGTATTTTTTTCCTTTGTGAAAAAGCTGGGGTGGGGGGAGGTGGTATTGGTCTCATACCACAAACTAGAAGCTAGCATTTGTTAATTGTTAATGCTCTACTGCTTATAAACCCATTCTTTTTAGCTCCTAGATGGAAAATCAATTAAAGTTGAACAAGCCACCAAGCCAACATTCGAAAGTGGTGGTAGGCGTGGGCCACCACCTCCACCAAGAAGCAGAGGCCCTCCAAGAGGCCTTAGAGGAGGAGGAAGAGGAGGAAGTGGTGGAGGAACGAGGGGGCCACCATCACGTGGAGGACACATGGGTATAGTTTCTAAGCTAGCTTTTAAATTGTATAAAGGCAAAATTTTTGACTTTGAAGTAAAATTCATAGATGTTTTACTTGGGTATAAGACTCCCAAGTCTTCCAAAGTATGGGCATAAGCCTAAACTATGTTCCTTTTGGGCAAGTTGTTCCTTATGCAACTGATAAGGTCCAGCCTGAGCAAAAACAGTTCCCTCCAGCACAACCAATTCAAAAAGTTAAGGGCTCAATAACGTATCTGTATGAGTCTTTGGATAAAAAAGATAAATAGGACTTATGCAGCTGAAAAAAATGGCTAGCATTTCACCACAGAGAAACAAGAATTTTCCTTTTATGGTCCTACGAGGCTTCTCACACACACCCCTTTAAAACTGCACTCACTTTTTACTTTTTTACACTTTTAACCTAAGATTCAGTAACTAAGATGCCAAAATGGTATTTTACCACCACTGCATGCAAAGTAAATGGATGAATTAATTAATAAATAAAATTAATTAATAAAAAAAATCTATCTAAAATCTTACCAAGGGAAATCTTTATTAACTTAAGAATAGTTGATTTGTGCTTAATAAGCCAGATTCTGTAGTGGAGACTCCTTGGATATTATTTGTGCTATATCATAACCTATGGTCATTGTCAACTGGTATAACACTATTTTTTTTTCCTAATATAGACGATAGCGGATATTCTCTTAACTTCAACATGGGGTCTTCCAGGGGACCTCTTCCAGTAAAAAGAGGCCCACCACCACGTAGTGGTGGGGGTCCTCCACCTAAAAGATCTGCACCTTCAGGGCCAGTGCGCAGCAGTAGTGGAATGGGAGGAAGAGGTCAGTTCTATAGGTTTTTAGCTGTATGTTTTGGTTCTCAAATAACATAGTTTGGAGTGGGGTATCATTCAAATAATAATTCACTTGTATGGTACTCTCTCAGAATGAGGCTCTTAAAACAAGAAGTCCATGAGGTTGGAATCTATCTAAGCAAGAATCATGTCTATACACTGAGTAGATAAAATACTTGTAGAACATTCTATTCTTAGACAGCTTTAACTGTTTTTCCTTATTGAACAGAAGGTTGCCTCCAACTTCCATCCATTGTTTCTAGTTCTGCCCTCAGGGGCCAAAGAAAACAAACCAAATCTTCCATGTGAAAATTTATGAAATATTTGAAAGACTACTACATAGGCAACACCCCACCCCCCAGAAAGACTAGGCTACTTATTAGATGGTTCAATGGATCCTTGTTTTGACTTTGCTCTTTAACAATGTGCTTCTATTAATAGCCTCTAAGATCTCAGTTGGCTGCCACATCCCCTTTGAATCACATTGGCCTGAGTCACATCTTCCCCATCCTGTACTTTGTGCAGTTGACCACAAGTATGAGACTTGCATTAAGTGCCTACTGTGTGCCAGACATGATGCAAGGTATAAGGAAAGATAAATATTGATCTGCCTTTAAGGACCTTCTCTGTTTTTAAAAAAAAAAAAAAAAAAAAAGATATTTTCCCCCAGTCACATGTAAAGATGATTTAACATTGATTTAAAAAAATTTTTTGAGCTACAAATTTTTCTGTCCCTCACCTTCCCCCTTCCTGAGACAGTAAGCAATTTGATATATGGGTTGTACATGTTCAATCATGTAAAACATATTACATTAGTCGTGTGAAAGAAGGACACGGCCCCAAAGGAGGAAAAACACAAAGTGAGAAATAGTATGCTTTGAACTACATTCAGACTATCAATTCTTTTCTCTGGAGGTTGACAGCATTTTTCTTTGAGTCCTTTGGAATTGTCTGGGATCACTGTATTGCTGTTAGTGTGTACGGTGTTCTGGTTTTACTTACTTCACTTTGTATCCTTTTATGTAAGTCCACGTTTTTTTTTTTTTTCTGAAATATTCCCCCTGCTCATCATTTCTTGACAGTAATATTCCAGGAATATGCCACAACTTTTTCAGCCGTTCCCCAAATTGATGACCTACATTCTTAACTGGTTGGATCCCCTTTGTTATTCATCTGTACCTTCACATAAAGGAACAGACCCCTAAGAATTGGAGCCCTCTTAATGTTAGAGTTAACATTCTCCCTATGTTAACCTTAATAGCTACTCTTTAGGTTTAATTCAACTAGTTTTCAATTGACTAGGTCAATTGTCTTGTGAAACTGTCAAGCAAGGTTATATTATCTCTGGCATCACCTCTGATAGTAATCTAATCCAAAAAGTGGCATATTCTGTCCCAATTTGTTGGCTCTTTATAAGAATCTATCCATTTACAATGTATCTTTTAAAGAAATTTCTAGACTTGCTAGGAATTAGTCTAGTTAAACTTGCTGGCTCATGTTTTGAAGCTTCTCCCATTGGGACACCAGTGTACTTTTCATGGATAGTAATTTGACAATCACCTTTGGATGTAGTAGATGGAATTGGTGTGATTGAGGAAATAGAAGCTGCCTTCTGAAGCTTTCTCCTTTGGCATAGAGAATGGAGGCAAATAGATAGGACTTCAGCAGTGCTTCTCAGTCTTCTCTGACAATGTCTTGCTTTCTCCACATAAGGCCTCAAAGTCTGACATCACAGCTGTATCTGTAAAATGCAGATGAGGAAACTGAAGTTCAGAAGTCGTGACTTACATTACTGCTTATTGTCCATGATCTCGCATCAAGTTACCAGTGGCAGGATGTGAAGACAGGTTTCAAAGTGCAGTCTCCATATAAATACGTTTTTATTAGAGTCTTGCAATGTGCAAGACTCAGAACTAGGCATCAAATTAGGGAAAACATTAAAGTGCTTTCTTGACTAATTACCAAAAATAGGGCATACTTCTTTGTAAGTACATTATCTACATCTGGAGGTCATCTGGGCCAATTGTGTAGATGGTAGAGAAAACCAGGGTTGGGATAACAAGTTGGAATTATAATGTTAGATCCCAGATTAGACAAGAGAATTAAGTGGTTAACGTTGTACTTTTATATAGATACACACACACACACACACACACACACACACACACACGGGTATATGGTTGCTTTTACAGAAAGGCAGATAGTTTTGTTTGGGGCACTTGGCACATAATTTTAATGCTTAGTCTAAAAAATGTAGGGATATTGAATTTTTATGAAACTGGCTTTTGAATTAGAAAAAAACTGAATGGTGTTTTAAAAATTTGGAAACAACATATGTAGCATTGCTGTCAGTTTGATATACTGCCACTGTTTTAGATGAAGTTTTTTGTTTAAAGCTCCAGTTTCACGTGGGAGAGACAACTATGGAGGTCCACCCCGAAGGGACCCAATGCCATCTAGAAGAGATGTTTATATGTCACCAAGAGATGATGGATATAATACTAAAGACAGGTAAAAGGAAATCCCAGAAAACTTTTAGAAAAATTTGGTTTTAGAAACTATAGATAATAAATAGTTCTGTTCTCTTTTAGCTATTCAAGCAGAGATTATCAAAGTTCTCGAGACAACAGAGATTATGCTCCACCTCCAAGAGATTATGCATACCGTGATTATGGTCATTCCAGTTCACGTGATGATTATCAATCTAGAGGATACAGGTATGGTGCTTTGTTTGGGGAAACATACACAAATGGCCCAAAAGTCTTAATGGAGTTTTAATCTTTAATAACTTAAAACCGCATGGAGACTTTTGAGGCAACTATAAAATGGTGTTTCTGAGCAGACTCAATACTTTGATTTCTTGTTAAATTTAGTGATCGTGATGGCTATGGTGGTCGTGATAGAGACTATTCAGATCACCCCAGCGGAGGCTCCTACAGAGATTCGTATGAGAGTTATGGTAAGAATTCAGTTTGAGGGTCTCTTAAGTTGATCTTAAGTTAAGTTGAACGTGCTTCTGTAGACCTTGTGAACCAGTTTCAGGCTGCGCTTGCTTTTGAGGGATTTTATTTGCTTTGTGGGGTGAACTGGCAGATTGAGATCTTTTTTTTAAGGGCCTTGAAGTTTTGCTAAGGAGTTGATCTTAAGGCTTGTTGCTTGCTTGGGGGGAGGGTTGCTTGCTTTTGAGGGTAAATTGGCAGTATTATGTGTTTTCCCCCCCAACAGTGAAAGTACCATTTAAAATGCTAATTGACAAGATCAAATATTTACCATTACAATATGAAGCAAAGTCTACAGTTGCAACTTACCACTGGACAATATGGCTGAGTTTCTACTGTAAAATAACAAGCTGTTCTGGAATGTCCTTAAAAGATGCCTCTTGAAATACACTCTTCAGTTTTTTCAAACAAACATAAACCATTCACTATTTCAGCAGATGAGCAATCCCCACTATAAATTACCAGCAGTGGCAGCTTTTACACCTCCATTCCAAAAAAAGTAAACATATAATACAGGAATTCTTTAAATTCAGATTTAACTATTGTGTATATATAAGATTTATAGTGTTGCCATATTACCTGACCATTGACCCTGCAGGTAACTCACGTAGTGCTCCACCTGCTCGAGGGCCCCCGCCATCTTATGGTGGAAGCAGTCGCTATGATGATTACAGCAGAGATGGATATGGTGGAAGCAGAGAAAGTTATTCAAGCAGCCGAAGTGATATCTACTCAAGTGGTCGAGATCGTGTTGGCCGACAAGATAGAGGGCTTCCCCCTTCTATGGATAGGGGATACCCTCCTCCACGTGATTCATACAGCAGCTCAAGCCGCGGAGCACCAAGAGGTGGCCGTGGAGGAAGCCGATCTGATAGAGGAGGAGGCAGAAGCAGATATTAAAAAGAAAAACTTAAGTTTTTGGACCAAAACCCCCTTTCAAAAAAAAAAAAAAAAAACAAAGCAAGTGGAGCTTGTTCTATCTTTCCTACCAGAGGACTACTAAAAAGGAAACAATGGTTTTTCCTTTTTTTATTGCCTGTTAAGTTCCTCTCCATGATTTTTATGCTTTTGTGAAGAACAAGTTAAAGCAATGTTTAATTTCATTTCAGATTTGTTTATTTCTTTCCAAAAAACAGATGTTAAATGTGTGAAATTTGAGCTCTGTGTACCAGTGTTGTAAGTTCCAAAGTAAAAGTTTCCCTGAAAGGCTACTTCCTATCTGATTTCCTGACAATTGAGACAAGCATTTCTTAAGACCTTCCACAAACATCCAACCATCTAAAATGGAAATGGATCCTTCTACTTGTTCAAACCTATCATTCTAAACCAATTAGCTGTTTTGGAGGGTGGTTGGGGGTTATGCCGCTCCTTAAGATTTCAGGTTGTCCTTTTTGAAACTGAAATCTATGCAAGATTTCCCAATATATCAAATGCTTAGTGAGGAAAAAATTCAGTTAAAAAAAAATCAGTAAACTTGAAACCACAAATGGATAGTCATGACTATACTTTGCCTTTCCACCATTTTCTTGTGAATCTGCAAGACCATCCCCCCCAAATAAAAAAAAATTTACATGTATAAAACAACTACAGAATTCTAAATAAAAGGTTTGACTAGTTCCAACAACGAAGCTTCAAAATGATGCTTGCTCTTACTGTTTCAAATTTTTGCAACTCTGTAGTGTCTCACTTTTAAAGGAACAGCTTGATTCCAAAGGCAAAGGAGAAAATAGATAAGCAAAGAAGTTTAATCTTCAACTTCTCAAAGGCTTATGACTTCTAAAAACAAGTGACTCTTTCAGCATTCCACTTCAGATATAAAGCATCAAATGCCTGTGAAACAGCAAAGATGGTAAGCAAAGCAAACTAGTTGTTCCGTCTAAGTCAAAATTGAACAAAGTATCTTCCTCATAGTACAGCGACACATGGCTGTACGTCATGGCAAATGGAAGTGCTTTCTAGATAACCTTTGGAAAAGCAATATTCACTAGAGTTAGAAGTCCTCCAAATTCAACATTTTTTTCTTGGATTTTTTTAAAGCATGTATAACGCTTAAAGGCATTACAATGCAGCTCTTATAGACAGATTACATTTTGGGTTGGGGAGGGGGGGTTGTTTTTTTTCTGTATGTTTTGATGAAGACAAAGCTGCATATGCAATTATTTTTTTTCCCCCAAATTAATCTTTAGTCATCATGAATTGGCTTAAAATTGGGTTTTTTTCCCCAAGCAAGCCATTGCAAACTTAACATTTAGTTGGATGCCTGCCTGACTTGTTTTAGTTTCATTGAAACTACACTGTATGGGGAAGAGTAGTCATTTTTTTTTCCTTTTTTTTAAAAAGCAAAACACACAAAACCTGAGGCAACATTAGCCAGGTCCAGCCGTGAAGTTGAAATGATGCTCTTGAATGTAGTAAACTTGAAGACCTCCAACTAAAAATCCAATCTTTACACTGCACTATTCCTTCACAAATAATTCAACTTAATGGATTTAACATGGCAATCCACCATTGGAAAGGAATGAGAATCCATAAGCCATGCAACTTACCATTAAGCCAGTCCAGACCAGTGAATCTGCCACCACTTAAAAGTTTCAAAATTTGAAATAGTAAACTGCAAGTCTGAACTTGACTTGAACTTTCTGGAATCAAGGGCAGTTATAGGCTGGCAAATTCAATGTTTTCTTTGAAAATTTCATAAGAGATAAATTCTATGTAATTTTTGCAGGCTGATCATTGCTGTCAGGAATGCTGATGTTAAAAACTGTCTCGGTTATGTACTAGAGATGAAAAAAGCAGCTAATATATAAGGTAAGCAAATACAGGATGTACCATGAGTATCTTCTGAAAACTTTGTGCTGTTGTGATGATGGAGAAATTATTTCATTTGAGTCTTAAAGCCTTCAGGTGGTGCAGTGGATACAGCACCGGTCCTGGATTCAGGAGGACCTGAGTTCAAATCCAGCCTCAGACACATAACACTTACTAGTAGTGTGACCCTGGGCAAATCACTTAACCCCATTGCCTAGCCAAAAAAAAAAAACCCAAAAAAAGAAAAAGAAATACTGTATATGACAAGACTGTTTAAACATATTAAAGAAAAGAAAAGCCTTCCTGGCAGATGTCTTTTGGCAAATTAAGTCCCAGGGGGTATTTGAATGCAGGTCTTAACAATAAACTTGAATAGGGTTCTGGTCTATTGGGACCATATCTGGTCATAGGTTCAAAGTTAAAGAGGATTAATCACAAAAGACTGTAAGTGATAGAAAGTAACCAGGTTCCAAAGCCATAAATGTTCTTTCCGTTGTGCCACACTTGACTCTAGGTACAACCATAACCTTTAAGAGAAGGTAGGAGAGAATAATTGTTGAATTGTAGCACTAAACAAAAACAGTGACTGAAAGCATTCTTCCATTTTACAGAGTCACTACAGAAGCAGGATGCTGAAATGTCACTGAAGTCAGTTGCATCTCAAAGTTGATTTGGGCTCGCACTCCAGTTTTTGCCTTGGATGATTTCCTGTGAATTGAGCTGAGCAGAGACATCTGATGTTGACTACTATTACCCTTAACCCTTACATGCAGAGTTTTTATTGGAAATGTTAAAAGTTCAGGTGACTAGAGATCTGGGAAAAGTTGTCATTTTGCGTAACAGCTGAGCTGTTGTACATAACCCACAGGGCAGTAAGGTTTTGCCAAAATGATTTTTGGGGTGAGGGGAGGGAGGGAAATCATGCTGAGTGTTGGTGAAATTGTAGGATTGTTGATAGGAATTAATTTGCCATTTAAATCTCTTTAATTTTCTCCAAAGCACAAGAATGGTTGGATTGAGGTTTGGATAAATGGAAGACAATTGGGCTGGCTATAGGGAAACAATTAGGGTAGGAAGAAATTTGTACCCAATGCTTTAAATGACAACTGAACAATTCAGATACTATATATGTGAGCAGCTGGTTTACCATGAAATCCCCAAATTGGAAAAATGAAATCTTTTTTGAAGTTGCCCAACAGTAATCAAGTGGTTGGGGTTTTTTGTTTGTTTTTGACCTGTTACATTATGTAATATCCCTTTACTCCCCCAACATACCCTATAAATTTACTAGCAGTAACAGGCAGCTGCTGCAAAAGTAGATCATGGAGGTTTGCTTTTTTTTTTTTAAATCGGTAAAGATGTTACATTTGATTCAGTTTGTCCCCTTTCCCTTACATACTACAAGTACTATCTTACTATAAAAAGAAAGGGACTTCATAGGGGTAGGATTTCTTTCCAGAGCTCAGTAGTAAAACCTAAGCTTGCATTTAGGAAAAACTTAATCTACATATCAGTTTTTTGGTTTTATCTTCATCGAGTTGTCTGCAACGATGTTCTAAATATATTGATATAACTCCTATTTAGGCTGTCCAGAAGCTTAAATAGCTACTTGGGACAGAAATTTATAGATTTTGCTTACTGATTGATTTTTCTGGTTCATCCTACTTAAAAAAAAAACTTAGCTTGCATTAATGTAGTGCTTTTGAGGGGGAGCACTAATTACTCTTTTATATATATAAGTATTTTGATTTCTTGAGTAGATGATCTGTGTGGTAGACCTTAGAAAAATAATTGAGCAGATTTTAACAGGGAGTACTAACAAGTTAAGTCTAGGTTATATAGTAAAGGATAAAGAATAGTTGTGTATCTTTTAAGATAGGAAACTTGAGAAAGCAGAATAAGTAGTTGGGTCCGGGTTTCCTTTTCACTGTTTTGAGAGGTCAGTCTTTGATCCACAATAATTTGAGGAAGTAAAGGAAATAGAAAACCCTTTTTGACTACCAGGTTGACCACTGATTATTTGAAACAGACTTGGCAGTTTATAAAACAATGTAATAAACATGATTATGCTATCACTAGCTGGAATGTTCAGAGCCTTTCATCTCACTTTATTAAAGTTGTTTATATTGTACATTCTTGGTTTTATTGAATAAATGTACGGTTTTTCTCTGTTTATGGTTTCCTGGGTCTTTAAATGAAAGTGGCATGCTTCCTTCTCATGACTTATCACACTTCTGATTCATTGGAGCTGGAGCTAGTTGCGAAGGTGAAGAAGATATTTGGGGAACAAAGCCATGTAAGATACTGACATTATCCCAGACCTGCTACAATGAAATAGCAGTCTGGCAGGTGCTGAACTTTTAGTTCACTGAAGCTGCCCAAATTAAGAGTGAACCCCCAAGTGTTTGTTGAACTGTCTCTAATCTACCAGGCTCAACCTGGGCTGCTTGTGTTTTGATTCATTGAGTGGATCATCTGTGTGATAGTAGGCCTTAGAAACAGGGAGTACTAACCAGTTAAGTCTAGTTTACATAGCAAAGGATAAAAGAATTATCTTTCAAGATAGAAAACTTGGGAAAGCAGAACAAATAGTTGGACCCAGGTGTCCTTTTCACTTTGATTTGAAAGGTCTTTGATCCACAATAACTTGGAAAGAAAACATTTTTTTGACCGAGGTTGCGCATGGATTATTTGAAAGACTTGGCTATTTATAATAATCATGATTCTGCTGTCACTAGGTGCATACATGCAGAAGTATAGCTAATGGCCCTTATCCCTAATCAGACATTAATAGTAAAGTGCTATTGTGGCTTTGCTCACTTTTCCCTGCTCTAGGCAATTTCCTAAGTTGAGGAGAGTCTCTTCATGGTTGAGAGTCCCCTCATCCCAATGAAATGACAGGTTCAGTTGGGCTCCTAGCTTATTGGTATGGTATTTATTCCTGAACAAGTGTTGGCAGGGTGGGAAGGATATGTACTGATTTACAAATTCATGACAGGATTTGGGATGTCATGTATCATGCTCAGCAACCACTCTGTCTTATTTTGTGGCTAGTCCTTAATTTGTGAGGGGGTGGGGAAAGTGTTGGAAATAACAGGAGCTTTTAAATGTTAGGAAGGTTAGGAAACCTTATCTTGCGCTGTTTCCAGGCCCCAGCAATTAGACTTCTTTTCCTTGTTATTTACATTTTGCAGAGTCCTTAAGTAAGACCCGAGTTTAGCAGACTGGTATTACTATTCAGGGTAGCAGTTGCAGACCTTTTCAAACCCTCAGGGTTCTGGATCTCCCCTGGCCGCTGAGTTTCACACCAAGATCATGCTATAGTTCTGGAGCCATTGCGAGATAGTGCAGCACAAGAGAACAAGCTTCACTTTCCCTGCCTTGCAGAATTCCATTTTCTGACTTCTTTCCTATATCCTTTGCAAGGCTAATCTTACTTGTGCTTTCAATCTTAGCCTATCACATCTTCAAATCCATATGGCATTATTCCCCAGAGGGAATTTCAAAAACTAGAACAGCATAGTTATGTAGCATGGCATATCCTTCTAGACTTGAAAAGAGGCATACCAATCTACTGCTACGTTCAACAAGCAAGAACATGGAGAGGCTCATTATCAGATAGGCCACTAGGCCATTTTTGTGGCTTTAGAAGCTCAGGGAACCATTTCAGAGGTTGATGAGTTGTGGCTTCTGGAGGGAGTGTCCATAACCGTGAAATAGCATCCTGGAGGTAAATTTACAGAGATGGATTTTCCCATGTCTCCTCTACCTAGAAGCATGTTCAGCTTGCAAGGGCAAATCTTCCTTGCTATTTTCTCAAGCTTTCCTGAATTTCCTCTTAAACTTGCTACATTCACATGAAATTGAGAATTACCTGGCTCATTAAAATTGTGCCAAAATTGTTGACTGACACAGTATTACTATAATTTCTGTATCTTGCCTCTCCCCTGCTACCCTTAGCTCCTTGATGGACCATACCTTACTCATCTTTGTAAATAGGACACCTTGTATTCTGTAGCCCATAAAAGTTTGTGTACTTAGCTGAATTCATCTACCAAAACATACCCATTGCCACACTGGAAAGCTGAAAGCCTGCCTTGGGAGCCTGTGGGCTTGTTGATATCCATCAGGGAGATAACAAGTCTGATAGAATCTTCCGTCTCACTTCAGTTTCTCAGCTACCAAGAGTTACATTGAGTTCGTTCCCAAGCTTAAGGTTGACCTTAGGCAGCACAGAAACACAAGACCAGTTCACTGGGACCACCAGAATTTATGATCTGACAATTTCCCTGTGTGTCAATGATAGCCTACTCTTCCTGCAAGGATTTGGATTGCATGTATTGGTGGGTTGGAGTATAAAGTCTCTTGCAAGGGAATATTTCTGCAGAGCTGAATGGTTATTCAATTTGTATGCTTTGCATCATATCAAAGCACACCTTAACCGAGATAAAACATTAATACCAGTGGTTGAATTCCCAGTGCAGTATTCACAACCTCCAGTTAAACTTGGAAAGGAATATGGTATTGATGTTTCAAAGATACATTTTATATGTGCTTTGCATTAGTCTTTGAGACTAACAAATGTCAACTCAGCTCCAGAAGACTTAAAAATGAGAGACTGGCACCTAGTAAGGTAGAGTTTACTGCAAAGTAATAGGCTGCTTATATACTTCCAGCCAGCAATCCACCTACTTGACATATACCTCACAGAGACAAAAGTCAGAAGTCTGTATTGTATATCAAAATATTGTTAGCAGCACTTTTTGTAGAAAAGAATTGGGGAATGGCTGACCGAACTGATATAGGAATAGAAGCGGCTGAAATGTAACCTTTGACAGGCTGGTTATGTGACCTTGGGCAAGTCACTTAAACTCTCAGTGCTTTTAAGACTATCCAAGTTGCAGAGAAGGTTCCAGCCTGCATTGGTGGAAGAAGCTCCTCATCCACAATTTCCTACATCAATGAAATCATAGGTTCAGTCCCTATCCTTATTATGCATTAAGAGATGGAAAATACAAGGAATTCAAAGAAAAATTGGGAGATTTGCATGAAGTAATGCAGAATGAAATAAACAGACAAGATGTGTGTGTATGTATATGTATGAAAACCATGTGAATGAAAACACCACTAGTACTAGTATTAGTGAAACTAGTACCAGCCCTGGAGAACAGATTGAGACATGCCTCCCTTCCCTCAGCAGAGACATGAGGGATCTATGAGGGCAGAATGTTGCCTACATGGTCAGATAGTGACTATGTTTGGTTTTTGCTGACCATTTTCTTTTTTGTTTGTTTGTTTTTTGACCATTTTCTTTATTACAAGGGATGGTTCAATTCCTTCGAAGTAGAGGGTAGGATATAACCAGAAAAGACTGTGTTAAAACTGAAAGCATCAATAAAAGATTTTTAAAATCATGCTATTGTTCTGAAATGTAAGAAACCTGTATACATGGACCCAGGCTGTCTGAGAAGGATTTTATTGGTGCACTAGATTTTATCCTGTCTGGGCTTTCTTGAGACTGCCTTCAATTTGTCTTTTCTCTTTCATGATCAGAAGTGAAAGCTAAAGGAGATGGAGACATTGTTCCTTTAACCGGAGGACCATGGATCTCCAGCTGGAAGGGACCATGAGGCCACTGAGGCCAAACCCCCTCATTTAGTACACAAAAGACTAAACAGACCCAGAGAGATTGAGTTGCTCGAGAGTCGTATAGCCAGTAAATTTCAGAGGGGGGATTTGAACCCAGATCTTTCTATCCAACTACATCATGGTACCTCTCATGTTCATTTCTTTCCTATCTTAAAAGGGAAGAAGGAAAAAAAAAACCAACCCCTTTATGCTGTCCTACTGTTCCATTTAGTTGGCTAACTAATTTCTTTCTTTTTCACTGCTAGCAGATCTTCCATAGCTACTACCTCCCTCCTTACCTTTCAGTTGTTTTTCAGTTATGTCTGACCCTTCATGACCCCATTTGAGGTTCTCTTGGCCAAGATCCTGGAGTGGTTTGCCATTTCCTTCTCCATCTCATTTTACAGATGAGGAAATGGAGGCAAACAGGGTGAAGTGACTTGCTCAAGGTCACACAGCTGGTTAAGTGTAGAGGCTAGATTTGAGCTCAGGAAGATGCATTCTAGCCACTGCAGCACCACCTAGCTGCCTTTTTCAATATCTTACTCCTATTTGCTTTTAGCCCCTTATTATCTGTTTTGCATCCCCTTCCCCCACTCTACTAAAATGGCTCTTTCTAAGGTAACTAATGACCTCCTAATAATTAAATCTGCCTTTTTCTGAGTACTTCTTTTTAGCCTCTAGGGCATTTGACATATTTTTACCCTCATGAAACCCATTCCCTTGCCTTCTGTGACGATATATCATTCTGTGCATTTCAGGAGGGACACAGAGTCAAGAAAGAACGAGTTCAAGAAATGGAGAATAGGACAGTTTGGCTGGAACATGGAGCATCTGAGCAGTGGGCAATTAGTAGGGAAATAGGTTTGAGCCTGATTATGGAGGGCCTTGAATGGTAAGCTAAGGAGTTTGGACTTTAATTTTCCCAATGCACAACTCTGATCATACTCAAATGGTTCAGATGAGAGTCAATGAAAGCTCTGAACTGGAGTGTTCTCAGTGGGAAGAGTAAAGAAAAAGACAGTTTGGAGAGCACCATAAGCAAAGTTAGATAAGATTTGGCAACTGATTGAATCCTCCTTTTTCCTTCTTCCCCACATGCAAAGCTCAGGAAACCAAAGGAACCTGGAAAGAGAGGCATGGGCAGAGAGTTAATGGTATAAGCCAGTGGTTTCCAAAGGTTTTGACCTCAGAACCCCTTTATGCTCTTAGAAATTATTGAAGACACCCTCCCCCCACTAAAGAGCTTTTGATTATGTGGGATATATATATGTATATGTATATGTGTGTATATATATATGCATATGTATATGTTTACAGTATTAGAATTGATATTTTATTTTTTGGGGGGTAGGCAATGGGGTTAAGTGACTTGCCCAGGGTCACATAGCTAGTAAGTATCAAGTGTCTGAAGCCGAATTTGAACTCAGGTCCTCCTGACTCCAGGGCCAGTGCTCTATCCACTGCACTACCTAGTTGCCCCAAATAATTTCTTTCTTTCCT